TAACGAAAAAAGTAAGGGGTCTTATGTTTCGGATTTACAATTGTTTTATTTTGACTCACTTATTTCGATAATTTTTATATTTCAAATATTTTCAGGTATACATTGAAGGATACTTGGTATAAGTTGTAAAGAATATGAAGTTGTTTCTTTATTTTGTGTATGTGTGTATTTTTTGTGTTCCGTCTTTTGTAAAGTTAACTAATTATACATAATTATGATGATTTTGGGTATGGAATGATGGTTGTTTTGGTGGTTTGGGTATGTAGTGATGATTGTAAGTTTTGTAGACAGATTTATATTTTTCTGTATATCTATTTTTAAAAGAAATTCTGCATAAATTTCTTGAAATTAGTAGGGATTAACTTGATGTTTTGGTGGTTGGATATGTGTTGATGATTGAATATGTATTAATTTTGGTGGTTCTAATTTTTCGTTACGCCGTGCCTTCAGGCACGGGCAATTACTAGTATNGATTAAATATGTATTAATTATTGTGGTGGTATGGTAAATTATGATAACGTTATGGTAAATTAGAGTTTTAATCTAATTTTTCGTTACGTCGTGCCTTCAGGCACGGGCAATTATTAGTAACCCTATAAAGTATAATAACGTCTTTGATTAATTCGAAACTCATCCGATGATAAAAAAAATGACTCTTGAAATTTCTTCTTCTTTTTTTTTGTCCAAATTTTTTTTCTAAAAATTCATCTCAAATTTTCTTTTTGGAAGAAATTGTATATGGAAAGTCGAATCTAATTTTAGAAATTGTAAATATATGCATACTTCCAATAAAAAATTTAAGGAACACCAATGTTATACACATCACTTTTATGCACCACCTCAACGTCCACCATTAGATTAGTAGATCTTATAAAATTTATAAAATATTCAATAATTGTGACCACGTTAGATGGTGTAAGTGAGATGATATACAAAAGTGGTGTACATAACATCTATAATATAAAATAAGATAAATTTTAATAAGTTCATCCGACGATTTTAAATAAACTCATTTAACGGTCACTAACATCCCTCTCAAAATTATTTATCAAAATTTTTTTTTCCCTCAAAATTCACTGCTGCTTATTTACGTTGCGCCGTACTTTCGAATTTACCCTAATTATTCTTCAAGGAATGACCCATATAAACATTAGAGGTGACATGTGTAGTCACATCTCACATGCNATTCATTTAACGGTCACTAACATCTCTCTCAAAATTATTTATCAAAATTTTTTTCTCCCTCAAAATTCACTACTCCGTATTTACGTTGCGCCGTACTTTCGAATTTACCCTAATTATTCTTCAAGGAATGACCCATATAAACATTAGAGGTGACATGTGTAGTCATATCTCACATGCACACCCTTGGAGCCTAAGTAAACCTTTCCATTCCCTAATCTATAAAATCCTGCCAAAATCAGTGGACTTGATCCATAGCCTAAGACAAAAAGTAATAAAGAGAGAAAAGACAAAAGTGAGGTGTGTGTGTAATGCATATAGCTTTAATGCGTTCAAAAGTACTTAAAATTACCATAGAACCCCTATTATCATTAGCAANATATCTCACATGCACACCCTTGGAGCCCAAGTAAACCTTTCCATTCCCTAATCTATAAAATCCTGCCAAAATCAGTGGACTTGATCCAAAGCCAATAAAGACAAAAAGTAATAAAGAGAGAAAAGACAAAAGTGAGGTGTGTGTGTAATGCATATAGCTTTAATGCGTTCAAAAGTACTTAAAATTACCATAGAACCCCTATTATCATTAGCAATCATGCACAAGAGGATGGGCATGTTGGCCAATTAAATGTGTGCTACAATTAATATCTTGATAAGTAAATACGGATTCAAATCTCCTAAAATATATTTTTTCTTCAATTTTTTTTCTTAGCAGATCATATGGGTCTCACTTGAAACTTGAAAGTATGTTAAATGATCCGACAAGAAGAGAATAAAGAGAAAATGTATTATACGGAATTTCACAATGGTAAATTTTGCAGTTGCCATGACTTATGGGCTGGCTTTAAAAAGCAGCTCAACTTTTGATTATTTCAATTTACTATTTAATAAATTATAGCAATCAACTTTTCAATGCAATTCACCCTCTAAAACAAATAAAAACAAAAGATTAGAAGTTTAGTGGATAAATTTAAATGAGTATCGTGAATTTTTCTATTTGTTTTGATAGAAAAAATAAAAAAAAATGATGATTGCTACGACTTATAGAACTTACAAATTAAAATGAGAAAACTTGAAAATTGAGGGGGGAAAATAGAAAATTATGTCATAGTTGAGGGCAAGTCAATGATATTAACCTATATTTTCTTGGCCAGTACCTATCGTTAATATTGAAGGATCTTGGCGTTTCAGATACCAAATTACTAATAGCCAAGCATGCTTGGAAGTTCAACACCGACGTATGAAAAAAAAAAAAGATGGTAATAACACTTTTAATCCTTAAAATATATCTGTTTTATTAGCTTGATTTTTATAGTAATAATTTTATTAATTTGATCTCTAAAATTTTAATTTGTGTCACTTTAGTTCCTAATTAGACAATTCTTCAAGTTTTTTTACGAAAGTGACGACGTGTCATTTTTTAGACGATATTACGTACCTAACACGTAATCATTCTCTCAAAAACTTAATAGTTAGTTTATATAGGAATCGTTTAAACACAAATTGAATACTTTAAGAACCAAATGAATAAAATTGATATTTAGGGAACTAAACTAACAAAACTGTACATACTTTAAGGACCAAAAGTGATATTAAACTGTTAAAAAAATATTTTTCCAAAAAATATTAAAAAAATATCTTAATGGTCTAAATTGCTTGGTAATCCAATGTGATTATTGGAAAACATTTTTTTTATTACTCTGTGCATTCAGACACGAGAAATAACTAGTACTCTTATATAGCATAATAACATCTTTGATTAATTCGATAATCATCCGATGATAAAAAATAACTCTTGAAATTTCTTTTGTTTTTTTTGGGCCCAAATTTTTTTTCTAAAAGTTCACCCCAAATTTTTGTTTTGGAAGGAATTGTATACGGAAAGTCGAATCTAATTTTAGAAATTGTAAATATATGCATACTTCCAATAACATTTTTAAGGAACACCAATGTTATACACATCACTTTTCTGTACCAAGTCAACAAACACTATTAGATTAGTAGGTCTTATAAAATTTATAAATTACTCAATAATTGTGACCATATCAGATGGTATAAGTGGGATGATATACAAAAGTGAAGTACATAACATCTATAATATAAAATAAGATAGATTACAATAAATTTATCTGACGATTTTAAATAAATTCATCAAATGACTATCAATATTCTTATCAAAATTATTCACATTAAAAACTTTTTTCCCGTACTTTCAAATTTTCCCTAATTATTCTTCCAGGAATAACCCATGTAAACATTAGAGGTGACATGTGTGGTCAAATCTCACATGCACACCCTTGGAGCCCAAGGAGACCTTTCCATTCCCTCCTAATCTATAAAATCCTGCCAAAGTCAGCGGACTTGATCCATAGCCAATAAAGAAAAAACAGTAACAAAGAGAGAAAAGACAAAAGTGAGGTGTGTTGGGGTCAAAATCAAACAGTGTCTTGGTTAGATTACTACCTAATTAAGTTTATTGTTTGAATCTCTTTGATAAAGGATAGTTTGAATTTATAAAATATGTTATATATATTTTGAATCTCTTTGATTTATATTTTATTTGATTAATTTAGCTTAAGTTTGAAATTTCAATTAAATTTTTTAAGTATGTTAATTATAACTATCAAATTTAAAGAGAGTAGATCATACTAACCGACCGTTAAATACATCGGCAGTGTAAAGAGACCGGTGGGATGGGGTTGAGTTGAGTTGGTGGGTGTGTGAGCTGCTGGGCTAATTTTTGCTTCGTCGTCCTCCCTTTCTGATCATTGCCCATCTCGGCGATTCATTACTCGGATTGTACAGGCAAATTAAACTTGTTTCAGTACTCATCAGAGGTAAACTGAGTTTCCTTTAATTTTTTTATATTTTTTTGCAATTGAGTTTTGATGTTCATCCCTCATGGTTGTTGATTAATACACCTGGAGTTTTTTTTAGTGTTTTTTTTTTTTTTGGATACTCTCATGGTAAGGTTGAGCCTCTTTGTTTACAGGAATAAGGCTTGCTTGTATCTAACCATCGTGCTGTAGGTACACTTTTTTTTTAGTGCAGTTCTAACTTCTCACAGTTGATCATTACAGCTCACAATTTTCATTTCAGTTCGAATTCTAGTCTATTTTTAGAAACCATGATTTAGAAGTTGACTTCTTTGTTGTATCATGAAAGAATTCTTGTAAATTCAATCAAGCAAAGTGAATTCTTAGATGGGTCATGTAAATCCTGGGCTTTCAGCTAAATAAGGGTAATGTTTAAAAAAGAAAAGTGAATTTTTAGGTGGCTTATTGCAATCCTGGGTTTCCAGTTAAAGATGGGCAATTTTTAATTAAAAAAAGAAAAGAAATTTAAGGTTTTTGATATGATTCTGGGTTATCAAGTGATTATGAAATGGCAAGATGGTTTTTAATACCAAAAAAAAAAAAAATCTTGGTTGCCTTTTCACCTTTCGACTCCATGTTCTCATCCTTTTGTTTTTAGCTTGTGCAGTTTCACTTTTGCATAATCATTTGTAATTTTGTTTCACTTTAGCATAATCCTTTGTAATTTTCAATCACTTTCTAAGTTCCAAGTAAACCTGATAGATATCAATTCTTCTTGTTTTACTTGTTATTTGTTTAGTGATTGCAAAGAAGCTGAGAATTATCTAGGATGCTGTCCAAACTGATACAGATAAACATTCTAATTTTTTTTTTTTAATTTTGGGTATATTGTCTTGCTATATTCCTAAGCTGACAGGTGTGGGAGATCACAGAGGTGAAGAAGTACATTGAAGAGGCCTGAACAAGATTTGAGATTCAATTGACATACAATTTTTGCTTACAATGTTGGATAGACTTAGTGACATGCCCTGGGATATATTAGACAATATCCTAGGATGCCTACCAATTAAAGATGCTGTGAGGACTAGCGTCTTGTCTCGAAAATGGAGATATACATGGGTTTATCTTTCCAATATTGTATTTTATGACAGATGTAAGGTGTCTATTTTCGAGTGGCCTGTGTCTATTTTTGGGCATTGGAATGAACTTGCGAAATTTGTGTATAATGTTTTGTTAGCTCATCGTGGCCGGATTGATAAGTTCATGCTTTTCACTCGGTTATATTGCCATGACAATGATGCGGACCTTTGGATCGCTTTTCTAAGCAGAAATGGTATCAAGGAACTCAGTCTTAATTTATGTTACATGGCCAAATATGAGCTGCCTTCTTGTTTATTTTCTTGTCAACAACTGAGTTGTTTGTGCATCGCTGAGTGCTCAGTCGTAACACCACACACATTCAATGGTTTTAACAATCTTGTTAGCCTCCAGCTGGAAGGTGTAGATTCCGCAGTGGAGTGCTTGAAAATTTGATTAGTAGATGCCCAATTCTTGAGACATTAGTAATTTCATATTGTGTTGAAGTTGGCCGTCCATATTATGGTGCCTTCGGTAGTCTTCATATCTATGCACCAAATCTTCAATCCTTGGATATGTCAGGCAAATTCATGACCGTCTATTTGGAAAATAGCCTGCATCTTACACAACTCTCTTTTTTGATGGACCCAAACTGGTACATGGCTCACGACAAAGCCCCGCTTCTTGGTTTTGTATCTCATGTGGAGAGGCTGACTTCGTTTGGTCATCTTCTCAGGGCAAGTTAAATCGACTTTCATTAGAGTTTTTGTGTGATTTCCTTAGTTATTTTACTTATTTTTTGAATATGGTAGAACTAGAATATTCTTCTGATTTCTTGACAACCAAATAGTACAGTAGCCACTTTAGTTCCAAACCATCATACTTTTGTGCTCCTTTTGAAGCATTTGGTCCTGACTTTTGTCGCAGGGGTTTCCCGTTGCATTTGACAATCTGAAGGCTCTTGAACTGTCTGAAGTCTGTTTTAATGAATTGGATGAGATCTCAGTTTTTCTTTCTCTTCTTGAAAGAAGCTTCTCAAATTTGAAGTCCTTGTGCATTTCAGTAAGTTTCCTGACTGTTTTCTTTCAAATTTTCACAGTTTCTTAGTGTATCAGCTTGATTTCTCGTGAAGTGAAAATGGATATTACTGGCTTGTATAGGCTTTTGGACCGTTTAACCAAGATGTTTATAAGTTAATGGCTGCACAAAACCAATTATCCTATTGCTTCAACCAACTGCAAATTGTGAAAATAAACATTGCGCTGTGTCACCAATACGTAGGAGCATTCCAATGCTGGAGATCCGATTTGGAATTTATCAAGCTAGTGCTTGCACGTTCGCCAGTACTTGAGAAGATGCTTGTAGGTTATAATTATCCAGAGGATTGTGATTTATGGTTTATGAGAAAGCTGCTCTCGTTCGAACGAGCATCATCACAACTCGTATTCAAATATTCCTCCTCTCCCAATCCAGAACTCTATACAGTTTCTTCCTTCCTTCATGATTGGTAATGCTAGTATATATATATAAAAATATAAAAGAATCTTATCTCAATCGATATAACGAATCTTTTAACGAATATATAGATTCGTTATATTTTTACATGCATGGTAACCAATACTGTTTTATCACCAGGGATTTACCTGTGTTGGCGTTGGGGTAGACCAAGAATATGAAGCCTAAAGGGATGTCATTTTCATATTTGGGAAATGAGCGAAATGAACTGGGAAGAGAGATGCACAAGGAGGACACGACGTTCTTGTATTAATCAGAAGAATCAAGGGTCCAGAATAACATGGAATTACATTACTATAGGATTATGCTGGTTGACTGTTACTGGCAAAGTACAGGCAGATGCTTCCATTCACCATACTTGACCAAGGCCATGGATACAGCCTCTCTCCATGTGCAGGTGTAAGGCTGTGTACATTAAACCCTTACTGAGCCGCATCTTTAGAGGTAAGTAGGCAGCTTCATAACCAAGATAAGGCAGTTCATTGCCTTGAACGACCATTGACAAAGGCCATCTGTGCCATATTAGGCATTCGCTTCTCAGCAGCAGTGTCGTATGTAGTTTGTTTAACTTGTAAAGTGGTGCTTTTTTTTTTTTGTTTTTTCTTTTTGATGCATCGAGTGTGAACACCAATATAGTTGTTTTGGAAGTTCCAGAATTTGTTGTAAAGCGGATTGCAGATATTCAGAGTTTTTGCTTGTTAAAATGTGTCTTGTTCACATGTTTCAAAGATGAGATGTTCTGACTTTCTGATAGAATTTAATGAGGGAATCCATCAAGATGCTGCCAAAAAGCAAATATCATAAATTTTACTAAATAATTTGTATTTTTATCAATCATTTGTGTATATATATATATTTCGGATTGGATTAAAATTGGATGTAATATTGGTATGTCCACATTCAAATCCATAAAAATGTGATGTAGTGATTGCAAATTTGGATTCTCTTTCGAATTCGAATCAAAATTCAATCAATTGATAGATCTGGTAGCAGTGAGACATGGATATAACACACAAATGGTGATTATAACTTCATAAATAACATCTCTCTCGAAAGCTTACAATTTCTAGTGGACTTCCTCATGAAGATTCATTCTTCATTCAGAAGACAGAATTTGAGTTGATTCTGTACATTAAGCAAATAACATCAAAGCCCCTTTGAAGCTCTGATGTATTACAATTATACAAACTAAAAATTTAAATGGCCTTTAGACTTTTGCAGGTGGATGTGTAACTACAAACTTCTCCTTTCAAAATTTTAAATTTATATTAAGTTCTAAAAGAATATAAATAATTCACCTTGGGCCAGATAGCTCTATGGCTTGTACAAGTAGTGAAGAATCATCTGTAAGGTCGGAGTATCGATGCGAGAAGGACAGCTCTGATCTATACTTGCCTGACTCAACTCTCTGAGAAGCTTCCCATCTCTCTGCAAGTCCATCGCCTTCAAGCATTCGCACAACTTCAGACATCTTAGGTCTGTGGCCTGGAAGGTATTGGGTGCACAAGAGAGCTACTTGAACCATTTCCTCAAGCTCAATCTGATCAAAGTTGTTTTTCAAATCCTTATCAACAAGCTCATTAAGCTTCTTCTCTTGATGAATTTTCTTCACCTGCAATCATAATTTAACATCATTAAAGTAATACAAAGACACTTTATGTCAAAATTGCAATTAATGAATGTGCTTTAGTATATCTTGATCAGTTTTTTTAGGACAGTTTAGTGATCTTAAAGAAGGTTTCAAATGCATTGAGAAACAGAAGAAATTGTGTGCTCACCCAATTGAGCATTGCTCCTTTCTGGTTAGCCGCCTTGCCAAATTCAAGAGCTCTCTGTCCCGTGATCAGTTCAAGGAGCAGGATTCCAAATCCAAAGACATCTGTCTTTTCAGAGGACTGGCCGGTTGAGAGGTATTCGGGGGCTATATGCCCCACAGTGCCCCTTACTGCAGTTGTGACATGCGAATCCTGGTGATCCAAAAGCTTTGCTAGGCCAAAATCTCCCACCACTGCCTCACAGTAATCATCAAGCAGTATATTTGCAGCCTTGACATCCCTATGAATTATCTTCGGGTCACACTGCTCATGGAGGTATAACAACCCTCTTGCAGCTCCTAAGGCAATTCTCTTCCTCGTGCACCAATCCAAGACTGGTTTTGCTGTGAAGCAAAAACGAAATGTGTAATTATCAGTACACACAATTGTTGTAAGTGAATGCAACGAAGAGATCTGGGAATAGCAAACAATGAAATAATTCGTATATTGACGTTTCGTGCTCATTTCAAAATTTCTGCCATGTTGCTACCATCATCTTACCTTTGAGACGTGAAGCAACACTTCCATTGGACATATATGGATAAACTAACAGCCTTTCTGTGGCAGTCATACAAAACCCGTATAGCCTGAGGAGGTTGCGGTGCACTGCTAGGCTGATCATCTCAACTTCTGTCTGGAATTGTCTATCTCCTCCCATGGCACTGCCATCTTGGAGTCTCTTCACAGCCAAGGCAGTCCCATCTTGGAGATATCCTTTGTAGACATGTCCAAAACCACCTTTTCCCAGAATGTTTTTACTGCTGAAGTTATCAGTCGCAATCTGGAGTTCTCTGAATTGGAACCTCTTCAAATTCCCGAGGGAAACTTCCTCATGTTGCATATCTAGCATTTGAAAGAGACGTACAAGTAGATGAATGAATTAATCACTAGATGCACTATCTTAAAATACGGAATATGCTTTATTTTGTCACACTTCATTATATTTCACAAACCATTAGCATCGAAAAATGTTTGCTGCTTATGTCTTTGTCTTCGCCACAGAAACATCCCAAATCCAACAGTGAGCAAACAGATGCACCCGAGGCTTGAACCAAAGGCAAGGGCGAGTTTGTGACTCTTAGGTCGCTCTTGAAGCCGTTCAGCTTCAAAAAATAGAGACCAAGGTCAGAAACTTTGTAATATGTAGAGATACTGAATGATTGACATATAAAAGCCACTGCACTGAACCTCAATAGGAATGAAAAAAACAATTTTAGACTACCCAATTGTATCATCAGGAATTGGTATAAAAATGTGTAATTCTAGAGAATGAATGTTTTCAGAAGTATACTTTGTGAACTATTCAAGGTCATGGACATTGGCATCAGAGTCATTCCATTGCAGTTCTGCTCAGACCCTTTTGCGCATATGAGAGGGTTTCCAACAATACTGCAATAACAGATGAAAACAGAGAGCAGAGAAATGTTCAACATTCCAACTTTCTTCTCTGAAAGAGGAAGAGACAAAATGCAATTAAAGGTGAGATTAGCGTACTTGAATCTCTTAGAAGTAAACCTTGGTACAGGACCACTCAAGTTATTGTAAGACAAGTCCCTGAATGGAGCAACACAAAGAATTAGAAAATCCTTAATTCAAATTCCAACAGAAAACAAAGCGAACGGAATGTGGATTGATGATCCAACAAGTTGGAGAGATTTACAGAATAGTGAGCTGGGTCATGTTGGTCAATGACATTGGAATCTCTCCAGAGAGACTGTTATTGTTGAGCCTCCTAAAGCCATTAGATTAAAATTAGACTCATCTGAATTCAATTTGCAATTCTTATTAAATGTTAACATATTCACAAACTTGAGTACTTACATGTATTGGAGGCTTTTCAAATTTCCCAGTGAAGAAGGAATTTCACCAGTGAAGAGGTTATTAGAAAGATCAAGTGTGTGAAGCTTGAAGAGCCTCCCAAACTCTGCTGGAATTGGTCCGGTTATCTTGTTGTTCTGTAAAAGCCTACCAAAACACCACATCCATTAAGACCAGTAAAAGAAAAAGAGAATTTCAATCTAAAAATTCCAATTATCATGTGTAACTCACACAATCTGCAGATTTGTTAAGTTGCCAATACTTGGGGAAAGGGTACCAGATAAGTTCTGGCTAGGAGTCCCACTGCAACAAGATCAAATGCCAACAAGTTCAAACACATCATCCTTATATTAATTGATATTGGTGGATGTGTCATAGTTCTGAAGTGTATAGAAATTAAGATGAATCTTCTTGGAAGTAAGACTTACAGGCCAATGACAAGACTTTCAGCAGAACAAGTGACCATAGTCCAGCTACATGGATCAACAGAGTCACCATCCCAATTATCAAGGACACCATGAGGATCCTCCAGAGAAGCTTTTATACCCATTAAAGCTTGCACTGAAATATAAACACCCAGATGAAGAAACTCCATTCTTTTTACTTCTAGGAGCTAAAAAGCACCAAGAAATTAGATTTACCTTCAAAGTTAACACCTTTGGGAGAGAGCAAACAAATTACAGAGCTCCAGAAGCAGAAAAATGTCACAAACCAGAATGCAACCTTCCTTTCTCTTCCCATTTCCATCGATTAACAATTTAAAAGAACCAAACACAAGGGGCTAAAACCTGCTTAATCAGGGTAATGAAGCTAGTTTGAAGACCAGCCCTCAAATGGTTTTCTTTTCCCTATTGTGATAACCTCTATTTTTCAGAAAGAACCTCCAGCTTTTCATTACAGAAATCCATTTTCATAGTAATCTTCTGTCAGACCTAAGAAAAGCACTCAGACCTTGTGTATGTATGTAGTGTAAAAGAGAACTAGCATGCCTGTCGCTGGGTCAGGATTTTGTAAAGAAAAGAATATATAATTGGCCTAATCTTGTGGAAAGAAAACTAAAGAAATCTAGGTAAATTCAAAAGGAGGAAAATGGAAATGCAGGTAATGTGAGTATTATGGAGGGTAAATCAAATTTCCTATTACAGTTGGACAATATATCACTCTCTCAATTACGCATTTTTTAGACTCGTAGTTTCAACACAAATTCCAATTGGTAAAAAATCAATCACAAATCACAGAGTTTCAGATACACAAGAACTTTCTTAAGAGAGGCTAATTTAAAGATTCGACGAACAATAACCTTTGAAATATTTTTCGTCCAAATTAATAGGATAGGTTGATTTTTTCAATACTTTCTCCCAGAATTTAAATTTAGACCAATCTATTAAGCCAAAGACCAAAGCATAATTCAATGCCCACATATTATGAAAAACCAATTAACCCCAAAGGATACCTCAAGTGGTAATTGAGATGAGTTGTAAATCTAGACATTCTAGGTTCGATTTTTGGTAACCTCTTGGGCCAGGCATGAATTTTCTAGTATTGACGTAGATAGTCTATTTTTTACCGGATCAGAGAGAATTAATCGAAGTACGCGTAAATTAGTCTAGACAGCTTTGTCAGACTGTAGAACCGAAAAAAGAAAACTCAATTCACGAGTGACTGACTAGTCATATTATAACCTAGAGAATAGTATTGTAATCTTGCTGTTGTCCCCTTGTGAATATTTGCAGTATTCAAGCTTAGAACAAGATTGGCACATTAGGTGAATCACACTATCTTTGTATATGAATAAACTAAGGGAGAGAAGGGGTGGGTTGGTTTTGCTTGGGACAGGGGAATCCAACATTCTCTGAGTTCAGCCATTCATTAAAGTCTCAAAGTTAAACTCTTTTCAAGAAATAAGCGTTTGGGTATCTCAAGGGTTGGGGCTCGAGATTGATGATGGGTATGGTCACCACCC